AAACTGATTACGTAATTTCATGTAAAAAATATCATGGCAAAAAAATTCACATGATCATATGAAATGTCGAATAACTACATTTATCGATGCTTATGCTCATAACGATCAAATAATTGGCTTGAATACCGTAGCAGTTATTTTGGCCCTTATATGAATATTTTTTAAAAATTAGACCCTTATATGTAATTATTTTTAATTTGGCCCCGTATTTATAATTATTTTTACTTTCATGTACTTATTTGTAAATTCCCCTATAACTTAATATGCAAACTTAAAACTAGAATCATAAGTATATTACCAGCATTATATTACTTTGTCGGCATGATAAGTATATATAAAAAATCATGCGCATGATCCTATAATTTCATCACTACTTGGTGACAGGTATAATGGTGAAAAATGGTACCAGGTTGATATTTGTCGGATAAGTTGGGTACTAATACTATCTAAAATGCAACAATAAACCTATCTAATCTAAAACCTAATAGAGCAGGCTACGATCGAGGTGTGGTTTGACTTGGTCCGATTAATTAGGAACTTAGTTTAGAGCTTTAGATTACGTCACGAAGCATTAGGGAAGCACTTAATAACTGGACTCGGGTTATCTTGGGTGTTTTTATTCAGGTAAAACTAGTGCTTTAGGAGAAACTTAAGAGCTTCGCCACAGACGAAAGGCGAAAACAAAAACAAAAAAAAAACTATTAAAAAAGAATACCCAACACTTAAATCTATTGTTCACAACCGCCAAAGTTTTTTATAGAAAAAAACATGTATTATCTCTAGTATTGCTATATACAATCTTATGTAAAAAAAAAAAAAGATATATAAAAAAAAATAAATAAATAAATAAAATAGAATTTATATTTTTATTTTGTTTTTGAAAGTTGCTGGTTAACTCTAAAGATTTTAAAAGTTTTATATTCGAATATTGATTTGCGAAGGAAAATTAAAAAGAATCTATGAAAAAAACAATAAAAAAAAACACATAAATTTTTCAAAAATTCATAAGAAAAAAAAATAGAAAAAAACACGTCGTCTTACAAAGTTCAAGAAAATTCTTTTTCGATCTGAAATTACGATAATGCAGTGCTGACAAATCGAAATACTATTTCGACTAATTATGATTTTCAATATACTCGACCAATCATAATCATAGTTACTTCACGTGATGTGCCTCCGCTTTAGACGTCCTCCATTTTAGGCAATATCATAATGCAATACAGTACGTATAAATTTTATATGCCAAAGTAGAGGCGTACATTTAGGGGGATTTTCATAGAACATGCATTTAGGGGGTTGCATTTAAAGAGGCCTAACTGTACTATAAATGTAACTCAAACTATTTGGAACGTCCCATATGATAATTAGTATAGTATTAATTTTTGCTGCTTTTGTTCTTATTGCTGAAACTATGTGATATTAATTATCGCATGGTTTGGGACGTTCCAAATTGTTTGGGTCACATCACTAGCCAACGCTGGTCTCTGGCACACACGTACACGTACGTACGTACGTACGTGCATTAAATAGCTGGTTGAATTTTTGTACACTAATGTAAAATTTTTTTAAATTTGAATTTTTTTTATGTTTAAACAAACTTTTGTAAACTATTTACAAAAAATGATCGCAACAAATATTCTTGGAAGTGATGGAGAATGTGATGTACTAATCGAAGTCGGTCATGCACCAAACAAACAATTGTTCGATGCTAATTCTGTTATCCTAGGTTCTCGAAGTCCTTATTTTCGCGATGAATTGGCTAAGATCGGTTATAATGAAAATAATGTTAAAATAATTAGATTAGACATTCCAATTAGTGTCTTCGAAATTATCGTAAAGTATGTGCAAGTAACTTAATATTCTAGTTAATTTTGGTTTTATATCCAGGAATATTATTATTAATCTAATACCCATAGGTACATTTATGATAACACTATTTTAATGGACGAAATTGACGTTCTTGTGTTTCCTATTCTCCTAATTACTGCCAATAATTTTGGTCTTAATGATTTAGTCGAAATGATTCTGTTACATTTGATTAGTGAAAAAAATTCTCTAATTCTTCCAAATTTTATTCAAATTTATAAAACGAGTTTTGAATGTGACGACTTTAAAATTTTACAACAATTTTGTAATAATACTATTGCTTATAGTCCTAATATTTTATTTAACTCTGAAGAATTCATTACTATTCCAGAAAATGCCTTAATCTCTCTTTTGAAACTTGATTACTTCCAAATGGAAGAAGGGGAAATTTGGGACCAAATCATTAGATGGGGGATTGCTCATAATACTAACTTGACTTCTAATCCTGAACAATGGTCTGAATATGATTGTTTGGCCTTAAAAAATACTCTTCAAACTGCTTACCTTATATCCGGTATTTTCACATTTCTGGAAAAGATATTTTGAAGAAAGTCAAACCATATAAGAGAATCCTTGAACCTTCTTTGTGGGAAGATATTGATGCAAGGCATTATAATCCAGATGAGCCCATTAAATCGGTTGTTTTACCCCCAAGAAAACTCACAAAAAATTATTCTTCCACAAATGATATGTTGACACTTAATGATGAAATATCGAAAATTGATATGCTAGAAAATCCTGCAGATACTATGCAGAAATCAGAGAACCCTGTTGATAATATGAAACAGCCAGAGAATCCTGTTGGTAATATGCAGCAATCAGAGAATCCCGTTGATGTGATGCAAAAGCCTGATAATATGCAGCAACCAGAGAATCTCGTTCAAAATATACAGCAACCTGAAAATCTTGTTGATAATATGCAGCAACTAGAAATTAAAGGCCTTGAACTGGAATCATTAGAAATTAAAGACCCTAAACTGGAATCAGCAAGTACTTAATTCGTATAAAATTATATAAAATTATATAAACTTTTGGAATTTTGAATTTATAAATTTTTATTTTTTCAAGATTCTTTTAACGCTAAAGGAAGAAGTATATTTCGATCAGGTGATTCATTTACGTGATCTTAGATTTTGGTCGTTATGGAGAAAGAGTTACTAATTGTGATTTATAAGCAACGTGAAAATTATGCGTTTTAACTATCCTACAAAAATTTTACTCTCATGTGGTGACTGAGGAACTTTAATTTTATCTGTGTATCATACATATCATGTGGGCGTAAAATTTTCGTGGCAATACTGTAGATGATTTTTTGAAAAATCAATAATAATAAGAAGGCTTATTACTAAATCTTCTGCCTTATTAGAATGTTTTGATGCTAGAAGTTGCATATCAGTCACTTTTCTCTCCATAGCTGGTTTTTTTTATTTAGAACCAATTCTAATGTTTGGAAGTATTCTTCATTAACACAATTCTAACATTTAAATCTCGTGAATATGGATTTATCAAAGTGTATGTAATACATCATAAGACTACCATTATTCTCGCTCGGATCAATTCAATTTTATTTAATCGAAGAAGATACACTATGGGAGTAGTGCCATGCTGCGGCT